AGTGGCATTTTTGCAAATGGACACCTCTAAGTGGCATTCTTGTAAATATGCACACAAAAAGTGGCATTTTTGTAATTATCCCGTTATCTTTTTGTAAGATATTTTGATTTTAAATGGATATATAAATTATTACACAAATGTCATTTTAGATAGTTACATATTAACAAGGTTTTTCAAGTTTTTTTCTATCAGTTTTTGTAAAATCTTATTTTACAGATTTTATACAAGATCAGAAATTAGAAAAAAGAAAAAAAAAACTACCTTAAAATAAAGGATATATAATGTGGGCAACACTATGTCTAGCCATCGCTACTTCATTAGTCAAAAATTAAAGTTGACAGAAACAATAGTGCACGCTATTTTCCTACAAAAAGACAACTCAAATATTTAAAATATTCAAAAAGAAGACGCCCATAGCTTTCGAAATCAAATATACTAGTAGCTTGAATTTGAAGAACGAGCTGTGATTGGTGTGGAAATAATTTTTCTTCTCGTTTCTCTTGGGTCTCACTATTATTTTTATTTTCATCAAGTGTTTTTTTTATATAGTAGAAAACTTTCTACCCCAAATTAGAAGTGGAAAAATTCTTCCAGTTTTATGAAATAAAAAAAAATTATGGTGGGTCCATAGATTTTCAGAAGATAAATTTTTCTTTTTTTTTTTCTCTGTGTCGAATATTTTCCTTTTATCAAACCATAGTATCGTGTGTTTAATGGAGCTACTAGTATATATATATATAAGATGTGTTTTTATCTCTAGATATGATTATGTAAAAGCCGATGCAATTACGAAATCGGCATTAACTTTTGTACCAACCACACCTAGTTTAGTATCGGTTTAATGAAATCAAAATCGTTTGACCAAAAAAAAAACAGTATAAAAATAACCTTGTTAGTATATATATATATATGACAAGATTATTTTACATAACATCTTATTTTTTATTTTGATGACATGCTACTTTACATAATGTTAGCTTTCTTTTTATATAGATAACATGCGATAAATAAAATACCTATTTACGAGGATATCACTTCAATTGTTTTTTTTTGTGTGCCAAAATTGGTTTTGCATTTGGTTATCTACCGAATATTTTGCTTTTGTCATTATCTTCGTATCTAATGGAGCTATGTTGGCATATAAATATATATTCTTTTCTTTATCGAAATTTGCTGTCGAATTTCGCAGAACCAGATTATGTAATCAGACTGTACTTTAATTTGCAATAGAAGACTCCAAAAATATTATTTTAGAAGAATTTAGAAACGTGATATTGTTTTATTTGAAGGAAAAAGAACAAGACACTCGACAGTTTCCACTAGTGTTAAGATTTGTATTTATATTGTGGAGTCCTTTCCGACAAAATTACAACAGTCGACTCTTTCAATAACCACTTATAGCTTTTGCCGGTGTTCCATCATTCTATTGGATATGCAAAAATAAAGTTTTAATTAATTTAGTATTTGTATAATGAAACAAATATAAAGATTTTCTCAATATATTATGATCTCATATGTAGGAATATCGACCTGACAAAAGCTTGATTTGTATATTTTTTTAATCTTTCATTAAAATATTACCAGTATGAAATATTTTGGACCGAATGTGTCGGTTTCAATAGATCTATTTCTCTCCAATCCCAAATCTTTGATTTTTCTATAATTAAACAAAACAAATCCCAAACTAATTTTATTACCAGAAATTCTCTATGATATATATAATCTATGCTTAATACTTTACATATTTGATAGATATTAATCTACGCTTAATACTTTTACATACTTCCTCCGTTTCTAAATATAAATTGTTTTAGAAGTTTTTTTATGTTTCACAATATAAGTTGTTTTGATAATCCTAAATACTTTTTAACAATAATATTTTGCAATCATTTTTTCATTGGTTAAAT